AGCCACTGGCAGGTCCTGTGGCCTGGGGCAAGTTATTCTGCCTCTCTGAGCTTCATCTGGATTACAGTGAGTCCTGCCTCCGGAATGAGTCCCCGAAAGGCCTAGCACTGACACTGACAGTGCTGAGGGTGACTTCCCTTTTCGTCTCTGAGTCTCCTGCCTACCCCTGGCACAGCCCCGCCCTTCAGTGAGCCCAGCCCTGGGCTGCCTGAGTGCTCTCACCGTCTTGGTCATTATTCCTGGCTCTTCACGTTTCTCTGTGCATTTTGGAGGCTCTCGGGTTTACTGGGTGTAGCAGCGTGTCCTCCAGAAAGCCTCTGCCAGGCACTAGCTGGCTCCCGTGGGCCAGCAGGACCTGTTCTGGGGAGCATCCCTCTCTGATGGCTCTCGCTGGACTCTTCCCTCCCAACCCCTCGAATCTAGCTGTGGGGCAGCACCCAGAAGGATCGTTCTTTTAAAAGAGGGAAGTGAAAGCACTCCCTAAACTCCAGGGTACATTTTCAGCCTGAGGTGGACTCCTCAGCTCAGCCTTCGGCTCTGCGCTAGGATGACTGCGGACAGGAGAAGCCACGGGCAGGAGGGGCCACGGGCAGGAGGGACCGTGGGCCAGAAGGGCCATGGGCGGTAGGGGTGTGGGCAGGAGGGGCCATGGGCAGGAGGGACCGTGGGCCAGAAGGGCCATGGGCGGTAGGGGTGTGGGCAGGAGGGGCCATGGGCAGGAGGGTTATAGCAACAGGCCACTGGAGCTGGAATTGTACCTGCCTCTGCCCATTTCCCACTTCATTTCTTTCAGGCCAGGTGGCTGGGAAGGCAGGGACTGGCTCTCCAAGGGAGGAAGTCCTCCTCCCTCCTTCTTCCTCAGGGGTATCTTTTTCCAGGAAACTCCTCCACTAGATGACTCAGATGTGGATGCAGAGGTGGGGATACTAGGGACTTGGCCTGATCGGATCTAACATTGCAGCCTCATGGCTGATAGTGCTCCCGCCCTCTCTCGGCCCACTGGGGTGCGTAGGGATTGCCAATCAAGGGCCCTGCTGGGCAGGCGGTTGTGCTCTGAGAACGAGGGCTGTGGCTGGAGAGACCAGGGGTGGTGTGTGCCCCAGATGTTTCACTCCCAACAACTGGGCCAACACCAGACACCTCGCTGCCTGAGTGTCTCTTGAATGCTCAGTCATGGATCACTCTTCTCTTTACTTAAAAATATTTCATTTTCTTCAGAAAATCATTCCATCTGGGCCAGCAGGTGGTGTAGTGGTGAAGGTGCTGGGTTCCCATATGAGCGAAGGTGGTTCAAGTCCCGGACCTGGTGACTGGGTGTGTGTGTGTGTGTGTGTGTTCCAAATCCCAGGAGGACAATAGAGGAGAAGGGATTGCAGCATGGCCATCCCCAGGGGATGGTTTCTCACCCTCCCTTCTCACACTCTCTCTCTCTGGCAAGCACACATACCCTACGGCAAAAAACTAAAAAAAGAAAGAAAAGCAGTCCATCATCCTTAAGGAGAATTTAAAGAACAGAAAGATGGGATAGGAGGAAATCGCCTGTAACCCCATTAATTGTAACACAGCAATTAATCACTTGTATTTCCTTCAAATAGTCATTGTAGTCACATGGCATCGACAAGTTAGTGTGGGCGGAATTGTTAGAAACAGTCCCTACTCCTGACCTGCATCAGGAACTCTGCTTTGGAACAGCAGCAATAACAAAAAACAACAGCCTTGACAGTGTAATTTCTCTCTGGGACCCACGGCTATGGGCAGGGTTGGCCCCAGCAGATCAGGGACTCTAGGCGAGCCCGTGGAACTCAGACGTAGTCACTGACCAGACCAGGGGGACGGCCAGACGGGGCTCCTCCCTCCGCCGCCCCCCACTCCCGCAGCTTCGCCACTGTATCTTCCACAGGTAGCTCTGCTCTCTGGCCAGTTAATTTGGGGTGTGATGCGAGCTCGTTTTTCAGGGCTCATTTTCCCCACATGGATATTTAATTGTTTCCGCTACATTTATTAAAGAGCTCATCCATCCCCCTGCATACTGCAGTGTCACCTTTGTCATAAATCAAGTGACCTCATATGAGCGGGTCTATTTCTGGATTCTCTCCCCTGCCCCATTGGTCTAGTTGCCAGTCCTCGTGCTAAGCCCAGGCTGTATTAGTTACCACAGCTGTATAATAAATCTTGATATCTGTTTAGTCTCCAACTTTGTTCTGTTCTTTCTTTCTTTCTTTCTTTCTTTCTTTCTTTCTTTCTTCTTTCTTTCCTTCTTTCTTTCTTTCTTTCTTTCTTTCTTCCTTTCTTTTTAAAAGAGACTTTTGCTGTGGGGCGTATGTGCTTGCTGGAGAGAGAGAGAGATAGAGAGATAGAAAGCAAGAAATCACCTCCCAGGGTGATGGCCGTGCCCCAATCCTTTCTCCTCCATTCTCCTTTCGGGATCTGGCATGCACACATGCCTGGCTTGAGTTTGAAGCTGCTGGGTCTGGGACTTGAACCACAGTTGGCCATATGGGAGTCCAGTGATGTAACCATTATGCCATCTGCTGGTCCTTGCAACTTAGTTCTTTAAGATCATCTTAGCTATCTCTGTTCCTTCCTGCCTCTGGGAAGAACGTGTTCTAGAATCACGGTTGGCTAGGACGCCGGAAGAGAGTCCCAGGACCATTTAGACCATTTGCCAGAGACACTCCTCCACAACCTCGTGCATTCCTGAAGCAACACTGAGCACTCGGGGGTGGGTGGGTGAGGGAGAGGGCTGTTCTGGGGGAGGCGGTAGTACTCACTTGCTCTCCTTCAGCTCTAAAGTGTGTCCTTCACCTCTGGAAGGTGTCACAGAGTCAGGGAGGAGGTGAAAACGTCAGCTAAACTAAGTTAAGCCGGGGTAGAGGGTCCGCCAGGGAGGCTGAGGATAGACCTGCTGATTGGACACTTCTGTAGCAACAGGCAAAGGCGGAGAGGGAGGAGGTGAGATTTTTACTGAAGCAGAGTCTGCATAGTGGAGCAGGGTGCAGAGTAACAGCACGGGAAGCAGCCACCATTCCCTGGGTCTCTGTTCCCTAGTACTCTCTCTGCTCTGTGAGCTCCCTTTCACAAACCCCACCTGCTAGATGAAGATCACCGAGACTCGAATCATTTAGGTACCTCGTTCAAAGCCTCTTCCAAGTAGTGGGATGGGACCAGCAGTTAGCGTAATGGCTATGTCACTGGACTCCTATGTAGTCGACTGCGGTTCTCGTCCCGCAGGACCCGGTGGCTTAAACTCATGCCGGGCGCGTGTGCATGCGTGCCCAAGATCCCTAGAGGAGAATGGAGAAGAAGGGATTGCGGCGTGGCCATCCCCCCTGGGGGGTGATTTCTCGCTTTATGTCTCTCTGTCTCTCTCTCTCTCTGTCTGGTGAGCGCACACACCCTATAGCAAAAACGTCTCCAAAAAAAGAAAAAAAAAAATAGTGGGAGATGCCTACCATGCACCTGCCTCTCAGACAGGCGTATTTCACTCCAGAGCCCTTGGTCTTTGGGTTCTGCACATGTAGCTCTGCGGTTGGAGAGTGTTTGATCTCACTGAACCTCCAGACCCAGAAAAGCAGCTGTCACTCCCACAGGTACGACATGGGTTCAGGTTGACCTGTGCGTGGTGAACTCCCAGTGGGGACACAGTGACCATTCTCTGCCCACTGTCTTTCTGAGTGCACAACAGCTGGATCTTCATCCTCTTCCAGAAATGCTAACGTGACCAGGAAAATACCGTTTCCAGAGCAGGAGCTGGCATAATGCCCCTGCACTGCAGATCAGAGAGATGAATAATCTGACCATTTGGTTCAAGACACATTTCAGTTTGTTTCTTGAAAACTGGAAGTGACCTTTCTGGGTGACTAAGAACCCGCTGGGCTATTTTGTAGTTCCAAAAGCATTCAGGTGGGCACCCCAGCCCTACCTCCCATCACCGAGGTCCTAGGCCCAGGCTCCCCTGAAACTGAGACCAGACCAGTGCAGCCCTCTGGAGCATCACCCTGCCTCCTGGCTTCCAGTCTCTATCTCTTGAATCTAGTCACCTTACCCTTTGCAAGCCCGTGTCACTCCCAGCTGTCGATGGAGCTTAGCGGGACTTGGGCCACCCGCAGATCAGCAAGGCGAGGGAGGCAGACTTGATGGCAGGTGACGTTTGGTATAGCCAGAGTCCCAAGGCTGGAGAGGAGTCCCAAGGGGAGGTGAGACTCGCGGGGCTCAGGACAGCTGCCCCTCACACTTCCAGGCTGTCCGCGTGACTCAGGCCTTTTGGAAACTGGCAAAGCACCTGGTGATCACGGGAGCCCTTTGGGTTCCCTGGTCCTGAGATAAAGGGTCCTAGACTGGTGGCATGTCAGAACCAGCTGGCTGGGTGTTTCAGTAACAACGTAGATCACACTAAATAGTTCCCTGTTGTTGAACCATCCTGGGACAAATGGGAGTTGGCTGTGATAAAACACAAAACACAAAAAGACCAACCTTAACACACCGTTGGATTCCACTTACTAGTTTTCTTGAGGGTTTTCACATTTACGTTCGTGAGACGGGTTTGAATTTTCCTGTTCTTGTGCTCTTCTTATCTGGTTTAAGAATCAAGGTCATTCTTACCTCATAAAATGGCTTTGCTAGCTCTTCCCCCCCGCCCCCCCTTAAATGTTTTGACAGTGGAATGATATTTGTAATGAGCTTTGGGTTTTATAAAAACACACCCCCAGAGTCTGCCTGCTCGGCAGGGGACTTGGCACAGACAAGAAGGCAGACACCTCTTTTCCGTGTTTATAGTCTGCGGCGGCTTATTTATGGCACTTTCGCTGTTTTTGGGACCGTTCTGCTGGGAGCTAGGCATTTCCCTGAGGAAGTAGGGATGAGGGGCGAAGGGAAGCCCTAGACAAGGGCCGGGGGAGCTGCACTGAGGGCAGGAGCAGGGAGCCCTGTGCCGGGTGCCCCAGCACCCACTGCAACCACCCCGAGTCTTGGGCCAAACTCAGCTTGACCTTCCCCTGCAGGCACCATGTTCCGCAAGAAAAAGAAGAAACGCCCTGAGATCTCAGCCCCACAGAACTTCCAGCACCGTGTCCACACCTCCTTCGACCCTAAAGAAGGCAAGTTCGTGGGCCTCCCCCCACAATGGCAGAACATCCTGGACACGCTCCGGCGGCCCAAGCCTGTGGTGGACCCTTCGCGCATCACGCGGGTGCAGCTCCAGCCCATGAAGGTGAGTAGGGAGCAGGGGTGGCGGGGCAAGCTCGGCCTTTCCCTCCCACAGCCCTGCCTGAATAACCCCACAGGCACCTGGAGGACAGCCTGCCCATCAGCTGGCCTTCAGTCCCTGCCTCTCAGCGTTCAGTCTCTCGTTCTCTTCTGGATGGCCCAGGGAGGCAGTCCAGGGGGAAATCCCCCTTTGCAAGGTGGTAGAGTTGCCAGACTTAGCAAATAAAAACACAAAATGCCCGGTTACATTAGAATGTCAGATAACAATAAATAATCTCTTAGCACGTGGACATTGCAGGCGATGTTTGGACCAGCAGTCTCAAAGGAGCTGGGGGCTCTCACTGACCAGGAAATAGAGTTGAAGGGTCAAGGAGCTCAAAGAGCCTGGTAGGATTAGGGGCCAGGGGCCCTGCCAGGGCTTGGAAGCCTCCATAGCCGGTGAGCGGAGGGGTGGCCTGACTGGCCCTGCCTCTTTGGCTGGCCCCGCTAGCCCC